TTCATGAGATTCTCATTCCTGATTGATTGAGAATGCAAACCTTTCTGATCACTCTGAAAATTCATTTGTTCTTGGAGATATTCCACACTCAGAGTTATGGAAAATGTATTGTTTCCTTAACAAATAAATCTTGGAAACTCAGGTACACACATACTGAATTTCCTTCCATACAAAGGAAAAGGCACAAAGCAAGCAGTTGCAAGGGATTCTATAAGCTTGTCATCATATTTTCAAGAAATTAAACAGACAAAATATGGTTGCAAAAGCAGTGGACTTCAGTGGAGGAGGACAATTACAATAATACAATTTCCCTGTGGAACTTCTAACAGAGACATATGAATTAATTTACCTCATTATTTTTCATCTTTTATGATATACAGACGAGGAAACAAACACATGATAGCAGCACAGAACACCTTCAACTGGAATATCACCCTGATAAATGCAAACTGACATACAGTTTTAATTTGTTTGTTCTTGATTGGGAATCACAGCATGCAGAATCTTAATGAGCCATGGGGTAGTGATCACCAACCCCAGACACGTTCATCTTGCATTGTGTTTGCTGCTCATGGCAGCTCTTTAATTTGAGTATGTCAGTACCTCACTCTGGGACAGTTTTTTAGTGGCTTCATAAAAGTGTTATTACTGCCTGCTCATGCTGTTGCTGGACAGCAGACATTCAGGTGATTCTGCTGCAGTTAAGTTCATTTGGGCTTCAGCTCTGAGAAGTCAGTAAACAGAAACTCATTTACTACAGAATCTTTAAATAAGGCTGTCAGGTAAGAGTCTGATTCTCACACAGGCTGAGCACCATTTCCAGTTTTGTTTGAGACTGAGGTGGGATTAGTGCCTGGATTCTCAGGTGATAACATTTTACAAAATGATCTTTTCATGTACCTGCCCCATGGTGGAAATCTGACAAGATTGTTTTGTCTTGAGACCATCCAGAGGCATTTTGCTGTCAGTGAGAGTTACCACTGCAGTGTCCCACCAGTTCACCACAGAGCTCAGCGTGGAGGAGGATTTGGCTCAGTGTTAGATTATATTCTGGCCTTTCCAGGAAACAGCCACTAAAATTAAGTTTACAAGACCCAGGTAAGGGAGGAGTAGTTTGACTGCTGGACTAAGATTAGCTCTTCTGCACAGAACTGTGCTGGGTGCAGTTACATGGGCTGTATTCTAGCACAGTTGTTTGGAAAGTTACTCGTCTTCTTGCCATCCTTTTACTGACTTCTGTGTTGTAAGAAATATAAGCCGCTTGCTGTCACCCTCAAGGACCTCCATGTCCATGGGAACCACACTTGTGATCACTCACAAGAATGTCCAGTGGTCCATATCTGCTTCCATCAGTCCATCATGATAGCAAACTTTGCTGCCTCATTACATTGTCAAGTCTGTTTGTGCATCCTCACAAGCTGTCCTCACACTCCTGGAGGAACTCTTCATCTACATCCATCACTCTATTTCCTAGATGTCCTTCAGCTCCCCATTAAAAGTTTCATTTCTCTGCAAAGACCAGATGACTGACTGCTGTTCACTCAGTGTTTCCGTCTAAGTTTCTATCAGTCTGCTGTCTGTCTTCCTGAATTTGGTCATAAGATTTTGGGTGTAGAAACAAGGGAATGCCCCCCCCCCCCCCGATATTTATTAAACTCTAAATATGACAGAATTGCTAACATTTCTAGGCTGTATGCATGATAAGCACAATAAATGACAGTAGGCTATATCACTCCACAGAGAGGTTAACCTCACGTATTCAAATACTCAGTAGTAGTAATGCACATAACTCCTTCCTGCCAAATCCACTCTGGCCCAGGGTATTCTCCTTCCAAGTTATTATTTTTAATAGGGGTCCAAATGATAGCAGCTTAAATAAAGTACTGAACTCATCTACTTTATTCTTAATTTATAGTGGTGCTTAGGGGATGAACAGATATTTAAAACGAGTAAAATCAATTAACTTGTGAACCAATTATTTGTGTTAGGCACTGTGGGGTTTTATTTTAGAGCACTGGTTCAGATTCTCCCAGTGCACTTTGAGAGTGTAAACCTTTCACTGTGAAATATGATGAACCTGTGGTTATCTTTTCTCTATTTCCAAATCTAATTCCTATTTTTGTCCTTTCATAGCATTTAACTTCCCTTCTTTACTTTTGTTTTTGAAAGGGATTCAGTATAAATGTAAGAGATTTTTCTAAATGCTAGCAAGTCTATTCTTTATATAAAGGTGGCTGAACAGGCAAAAAAGTTCACCTTCTAGATAATGTACACTATATTTTTCTGGGCCAAGTTATTTCACAGTAGATATTTGTCTTTTGCAATCACAAGTCTGTGATTTATTCCACTTTTCACATTATAAATTTAAAGTAGACCTATGTGACAACTTCTGTGATCTAATCATTCTGCTTTTTCATGCATCTTGAACAGATTTTAGTCTAATGTTCCAGACAGCTTCAAATACCCTCTGTGTTTCTCTGGTCATTTCTGAAATGTGAAGGATGCTAGGGGTGAGTGTGCCACTATGCTTGAAATTATTTGGCTTGGCACAGCCTTTGCCTGTAGACGTTGGCATTTCCTTGACCTGCAGGAGTCAGAAGCTCAGCAGTTTTGTGCCCCCAGCAAGTCTATGTGCCCTTTCTGCACTACTGCCTCTCTTCAGCTGAAGCTACTGAGAGCTCTTCCTAAATAAGTAGGAAATAGGAATGCAGAAGAAAGCCAACCCCAGCTGAGATATCCTTGATTGAGGTATCCTTAACCTGACATTGGATATTTCTTGAACTAGTTGGTGCATCATGGTAACCTTTTCCATCACGATCTGACACTAGTGGGGTAAAAATAATGAATTCATCTCACTGGCTTCACAATTATGTACCTGAATAACACAGACAGACCTTTAAATATTTCACCCTAACAGTTCTTACTGTTCCCAAGGTGAGTCAGGGAGTATTGAACACTTAATTGAATCAGACTAGAGGATTAAGCAAAAGATTTTTCAGAAGGATCAATATGAATTAGGAGCAGACACCCAGTCAAATCTAAGGGTTAGATTCTTTAGCATTAGGCTCCTTGAAGTGTAGTCACCTTATTGCATAGCTAAATAGAAACAGTTTGCTGCTGCATACTTGTGGGGAAAAATTCTGACCCTTGTAGTTCTGATGTCTCATATTATACCTGCTCAAGGTGAGCTAATATGAAATAATACAGAAATATCCACCAGGCTAATTGCTTATTTTCAATTAGAGTAAGAGGTGTCCAAGTCTGCTTTCCAGTGACAGCACTTTGCTGAGCCTGAAGGAATACAATCTTGGTAATCATTCTTCTGTTATTTCCAAGATTTTTAATAGAGCTTTTCTTTTGATTTGCTTCAAAGCAAGCAAAAATAATGTTTTATTATCATTTAGAGTTAATTAAACTGCAAATGAGCTTAATGAACTGTCTGAAACAAAGCTCAGTCACAACCTGTTACATATTAACTGTCAAAATCAAAAGAATCTTTAAATTCTTTTTTAGATAAACCAAAGAAGATAGAACTAGCCAATCATTAATGTCATCCTTTTATAAAATCAGGTTTGGGGCTGGAAAGCTAGAACTGAATGCATACACTCAAATTATACAGCAAAATTGAAAAAGGGTTTGGAAAGATAAGTCAAATTTATTGGAAGGAATGAAAACAAAGATAACTGAACACAGGGAAAGACATAATTGTTCCCTCTGTATTTTATTATAAGGAAATCCATTTTACCTATTACTTTGTCCAGATTGTGAAAACTATATATTAATAAGTTGTCATTTTCTGGATTTAATATTCTCAGTAAATCCTGCGCAGTGTTATAACTTCATGTACTCTGTAAGGCAGAGCAAAAGACATTCAGGTCTTGAAGCCACTTGGGTGACTTTTGCCCTTGAGTGACATAGCATCACCAGAGATGCAGGGCACATTCAGCAAAGCCTATTTGTGTCATTAAAGTTTGTAATTTTGGACTTTTGAAGGCTTAATCCCTAGAAATGCTAAGATTTTCTAATGATCTATAATGGTAGTGCTGATGCTCAGCACTTCTCAGGATTAGGTATGTTATCATTCTGGTTTATCCACCTATAAAGTAGGTATTATCTTATCACTTTTATATACAGTGCTTTTAGCACGTCAGCCTCCAGTACTTGAAAGGTGAGGAGTATTATTAAGCCTGACCCTTACAAGCTTTTTCCAATGGTTTGCTTAATGCTTTTCCTACATAAATAAGAATGATGTTATACACTGTTTGTCTGGAAGGTAAATTAGAATTTTCTCATAGGTCTTGGCTAGTCACATCATCCAGAAGTGCAACACGTCTCAAAAGGTCATAAAAAATTCTTCCACTGCAAAAAGAAAGTAGCACTGACTTTTAGTTATGCAGGCAAGGTGGTAGCATGAGGTCCAATTATTCTTGAGTGTCTTCAAGCAAGTGCTCCAGAAAATGCTCTGGGAATGTGTTTTGGGGAAAAATGTATTATGTGTCAATACTGATGTAGTGAAAAATTAGTTTGGGTGGGATAATTTCTGAAAATAAGAGTCTGAAATGCAAACCTGGATTGTTTGTAAATAATAGTCCATTTGAAGGCACAGGTGGTCTGTATTAGACAACGACCCCTTCCCTTAGCCAGGACTAGAGTTCTCTTTCTGACAGCATATGCACCTTGGCAGCACTGTATGTGTTTTCATGCTTCACTTCCCAGTAATATGAGATGAACTGTCTTCTTGTGATCAGAATCTTCCAAAGCTTGATTCCTATCACATCGCTGCTTATCTACCATCTCTTAAGAGGAGAGCAGCTGTAATGTGCTGCCTCATATTTCATGAGTGAGAATGTATTATTTACAGCCTATAACATTCCATTTCGGTCAAGGATTCTGTCTTTCTCCTCTTGGGGTAAATAATTAATGCTGCCTTGGATATTTCCTCTGTGTGTGTGGTCATTAATTGAAAATAGTAACAATTTTTTTAATGTTTTTTTTTCTAGTTTCAAGCCACAGTGAAAGAGGGAGTCACAGGTGTAATAGTGAACCTAACCGTTGGTGACCGAGATGACCCAGCGACCGGAGCGTGGAGAGCTGTCTACACCATCATTAATGGGAATCCAGGGCAGAGCTTTGAGATCCATACCAATCCCCAGACTAACGAGGGAATGCTCTCTGTTGTCAAAGTAAGAATGATTTCCTTTGTCCTATATTATTGCTAGGAAGTCCATCCCGTGGGTTCACTGCAGAATGGAAGGCACAGCAGGGATAAGTTACTCATAGATATATAGTTGGCTATCAGCCCTTGTCCAAACTATATGTATAAACTCTTCTTCTCTCACAATAACCTTATTTTTTTAGTCATAAGATCTGCTTGTTGCTAACTGTATTGCCATTGTGCTTAAATAACAGCCAGTTTTGCTGTAAGCATCACAATTAATAATGAGACTTTACAACAAAGTTTTGTTTGTTGGCTGAAGGTACAGTTAGAATTTAAGGGCCTCATTTTGTTCTCTGTTAGAGAACACAGATACAAATGCCGGGGAAGTAAGGGACATGGCTGCAGACTGAATTGGAGAGCTGTCTTTGGTCCCACATTTCTAAAGTCTCATGGAAAAATGAATTGTCTGTATGAACAATTCTATGTCGTACACTTGCAAGAAAACCCCGACCAACCAACCCATAAAACCCCCCAAAAACCAAAACAAAACCAAAAAATATCCCTGGTTCCTGCCTGTACCAGAATTTTCTCTGTTTGACTTCAGGAAGAGTGTTTTCAGTTCTTAAGACAAATGACATTATTTCCATGGTAGTGCTTTTCTTTTCAAGACAGGAGTTGAGAAAGCAGCTTGTGTTATTGTCATAAGCGGCTACAAAGTATGACTTATTTGTTTGTTAAATGCATATTGCATCATGAACAAAGCTGTATATTTGAGAACTGAATTATGTATATGAGGTATGGCAAAAAAGTGTATGTTCTGGGGCAGAATCTCCAACTTCTTTTAAGTCTATTATGTTAATTATCTTCAATGCACTTTATAACTGCAGATGTGTCTATGCTAAACTCTGACCAAGTATTTGGTGCAGTGACTGCTCTTGTCTCTTTCTGGCTAATTGTCTTCTGCAAGTTTGCAATGGACTAAAGGAAAAAGTCCTAAGTACTGTCTTTGTACCTTGCCCTCTGATTTTATGCTATGCTTTACAGCCTTTAGACTATGAGATTTCAGCGTTTCACACACTGCTGATCAAAGTAGAAAATGAAGACCCACTGATTCCAGACATTGCCTATGGCCCCAGTTCCACAGCAACGGTCCAGATCACTGTGGAGGATGTGAATGAAGGCCCAGTTTTCCACCCAAACCCCATGACAGTGACAAAGCAAGAAAACATCCCCATTGGCAGTGTTGTGTTAACTGTGAATGCCACTGATCCAGACACCTTGCAACATCAGACTATCAGGTGAGTGTAGTACCCTCTCATTTTCATCCATCAGAAAGTGAACATGTCTTTGTGCCCCAGAATTTGCCTGCCAGTACAGAATTAGATGAAAGTTGTTTCAGCTCTGCATCATATATAGTGACTTTTTTTTTCCTGCAGGAAGAGATTCAGTATGATGAAAACACAGAACTGTATTAGAGAGGGAACAATAGTTTTCCAGGTTATGAGTTTCCTACCGTAGAACAATCAAGTGCCACAAGCAATACACATAGCTTTGCGTAGTTTCAAAATTACTTTTAACCTGCTTGTTTATTCCTCTTCCTTCATGAGAGACAGAGAAGATATGTAAAATTTGAAAATGTATTTATAAATGATTTATCTATTTTACATAGGGTTTAAATCAGTTTATGGTAATTTATTATGTCCCTCAGTGAAATAATGATCATCCATCCACATTAAAGAGCTGAGAAAATATTTCCCAGTGAAACACTCCAGCTGTAGTAAGCTGAGACTTAGCCTTGTCCAGATAGATGAAAGTAAATGATTATTTCTGTATTATGATAACATAATCCCACAGATGTGTCATGTTGCAAGGAGCAAACCTAGGTATTACGTGGTGTCATCATCCTATATTTTGATCCATTTGGTTTGGTCTTTTGGTTTTAGATTCATTGTAAAATGAGAAATCAATCACTTTATACTCTAATATTCAATTGACTTTCCAGACAGCTGTTCTCAGTATTTGAGAACTGCAGGTTAGGCACTCCCACTAAAATCTACAGCTGTATTAAATTTTTCATTCTTACTTGTAAGCTGTAATTTCCCCTAGATATCAGTGTATATCAAAGGGCATAAACACCTTTGTCAGAATGACTTCAAAGCTTTACTTGAACAATGTGCAATGTCCATCTATAGCATAGGCATAGATTTCTCTGCTATCACAAGGTTATTTAGCAGTGATTGTGCAATCCTTAAAGAAGGTTTGACATATGTACTGTTCTACAAAAAAAGAAAGCTACTGATCTTGAAGATGTTCCCTGTCAGTAGCAAGTGTTGGTAAGCTTTTCACTGCAAAGGACTTGGATTCCAACGAGGAGAAAGTGAATTTAAGCAGGTGAGTGTGTTCATCTCCAAGGCAGGAGGAAAAAGACAAAGCAGATAATTAAAAGTTTCAACTCTCTGCATCACCTCAAAAATATCTTTTTAATAGCATACAAATATTTCAGTTTTTCTCTATCAAAAACACCTTTGACTTCTGCCACTGAAAAAACAGCTTATCTGAGGGATGACTTTCAGCATATGTCATTCCCTTTGTTTTCTAAATGTATTTATTTATAGAAAGAATTTTTATACTAAAGTTTAGCTTTTGCTCCAAAGATTTCTTACTGCACTGTGATGACATAAATTTTTGTTTATGGATAGAAAACTTAGGGGATTTGTATTGCTTGTCAGATACAGCAACATGATCCAGCATTACC